GTGTTGACAATAACTAATACCTGACTCTTGTAGACGAATATCATTGTATTCATCGTATGGTATGAATCGGTCTTTAAGCCAATAATCGCAATGAATAGTCACATGAGTGGCAAACACATCCCGCAAGTATTGTCTCATATTAGACATCCAGTGCTCATCCATGTGTCCCTCCAACACATCCACAACCTCTAACAGTCTGCGCCCTATTATGTCATAATTTATTACAAATGTTATAATCGTTTATAAATCTCTAAACCAATACCTGAATTAAACGTCTGATCGCACCGTCCAGTCTCCATAGCGTTCAACAACTTATCCGTCAATTCTCTCAGTAATTCTGGTGACCGTTCCCTACGAGCCCTTTCCATATCATTATCCAAATAAGTGATAAATTCAACCCATTTGCCAACATTTAGCAGTCTTTGCTTGGATTTGCAGCTACTGTACAGATAGGGTACAAATGCCATCGCATATGGGGTCGACTTTTCGCTGTAATGGGAGAACTCTTTAGACCATTTGGTCATCTCCTGTAACACCCATTCCCGGTGTGGACAGGGATTCATACCTTTGTTAAACAGCGGCCGAAACCTTGAGTTCCCGAACTCTTCGGTACTTTTTAATAGTGAAAGTGTTGTCATGTTTTTGATGTGAAAACTATTTTTATAGTTTAAATCACAATAATGTTTGGTTTAGTCTTAAAAGAGATAATGACTGACAGGTTACTGTTATTAGAGTTTTTGTTGGCAAATGTGGCAATATTTAATTGTGCAAATATTATTTATTACTTTAGTGTACTATACATACAGTATGGATACATATGGATTGCATTTTAAATATTTATTAATTCAAACTTAATATTAAAAATTAAAGTGATATTATAGTTAAGAGCTAATTAAGTTTAGCTAATAATGTTGTAGCCCATTATGTTTTTCATTTGTTGATATCTGTAATAATTTAAATACTATATTTCGTTCACAATTTCATTCAGATAATGAAAATAAGAGTGAATAATCATTTTGTAAATTTATAAATAAATATTATTTAATTTAAACGATATTAATTTTGACCAATATTTCATATGAATATTAAGTAATAGATTTCTCGTTATTAGTTGACCATTGAGTTCAATATATTTTAAACATTTAAGTCTTAATAAAAACATCAATAGATCGTCTGTTATGTAGACATTCAATAGTCTAATGAATTGAAGTTTGGTATAAATAGTGGCTAGATCATCACAAAAATATGTATTCAAATTGGATTCAATTGTTAAATGCGTTAATCGTTTGCAACCACTGAATGATTCACTAATATATAAATCACCAAAAATATTAGCCGTTATACTCAAGAATTTTAATTGTCTAAAGTGTTTATTAATAATTTTAAACATTTTATCAAAATCTGTATCACTATTTTGATGTAAATCTATAGATAATTGCTTTAATTTAACACATTTAACACCAATTTGTTTCAATTGACTCACAATTGAGGCACTAATTGTATGACTATTACCAGTGTTAGAGAAACAATAAATTTGTAAATCAATTAATTCTCGCATTTGAGATAAACTAGTAATTAGTTTATGAATCGAGTTTTGGTCGTAATCTCCAATCATATTCACACGAATTAATTGCAAACTATTCCTATAGTTTTCAACGAAATTATCAAATCTATTGTAGTCTTCATTATTGTAAGTGAACTCAAAAGTTGTAAACTTTGTAAACATAATCTCATTTTTATCGTTAAATATTTGTGAAAGTGATTGATTTGCACTAATACTAAGTTGATTTAAATTCCGGCAATACTTCTGAATGTATTTCTCAAACATATCATACAAATCAGAGTTAATACATAAACACAATGTTTTCAATTGTTTGCCTAAAATTTTTAAAAATATTTCTATTGTGTTATCATCGAAGTCATTGCTATTGATATTTATGATAATTTGCTCCAAATGTGTGCAATATTTAGCAATTAGTCCAATCATTGCATTGTTGACAACACTATTAAACAAACAAACAATAAATAAATAAATATGTTTATTGAATATTAATTAAAACAAATAAATACCCGATTTCTGATTGCCGTATAAACACGTTATTATAATACTTGCATTCAATTCGTGTAATATTTATACACTTTTTGACAATTGTTTCAAATGATGGCACAATCTTTCTATAAATAATTAACTCGTTTTGTCGGTTATATACGAATCGTTGCCACTGTTTAGACAGACATTCACATCGGAATCGGTCCTCAAATGATAGGTAACTCAATATGTCTTCACACAAGTCATCACCAAATCTATCGAAACTATTTTTACTATACATTTGCTATAAATTTATTATTAATTACAAACTAA